TACCTTTTATAGGCTACTATACTACATGTATGATAGTGTTTTTTATTTGCGACAAATTCAATAGGGGGTAGCAAGTAGCAACAAACACAAACATAATATTTAGCATTTGCTTATGCATTTGATGAACGATGGATAGCTTAATGAGGCTTAAAAAAATAATGGAACTAGGAAAGATCAAATGAAAGTAATTTAATTTAGGTACAATACTATCAACTATATGTAAAATATTATAAGTATAATATAACTCATAGAAGTATATTGTATATTTATATGCATAAAAAGTCCGATGTCCATGCCACCTAAGTTTATTTAGTATTTAAGGAACCAGTCTCGTTTTGAGCCCAACAAAAAGTATTATATAGTGCGTATTATACCTTTTTTTTTCAGTTTATAACCGACGGCGCCGCGGGAATTTGCTTTCGCATTTCTGCCACGGCGCATTGTGTATTATTATACCTACATAAATATTAAATACATGATGAATGCAGGTGTTCACCTTCATGCATCTTACAGTTAAAATAAGTTAAATAATAATCAATTAATTGAATATACAAATAACAAAAACGAGTAAAATTATTATGTTCACCATTTGACCATTGCTCCAAAGTTGGATCATACCAAACCTTTCCAGCGGCTTTACGATAGAATTGTTTTTGCTTAGTCCCGTATATTTTGGAAGACGACGATGCACATTCAGCGGCTGAAATTGCTATGTGTGCTTTGCTGTTAAGTTCATTTTTACCAATCAAAGACTTAGTTTTTGTCCTAAACAGTATTATAAGGTATCTATACTTATAAAAATGAAAGATCAATTATGGATATTTACTATTTCAATTTGCTTAACAATTTAACATGTATAATAAAATAAAATATGTGTTAGATAATAGATATAAATAAATACCTAGGCACTTTTATTGTCTTACTTAGAAATTAAAGTGGATGCGCTTTGATTTTGTAACAGTGAATTGATTTCTTTAGATAATGTAATAGCCAAGGGAGATTGTTGAAAATTATGACTTTGTACTTTTATTTTTTTTAAATAGTTTTTAGTTTTATTATCATCATTGACATTATTGTTTAATCCAATATCTTGTTCAAATCTAAATGAACATTAAAAATAGATTAATATATTTAAACATTATGTGAAAACTTCAACGTTCTTAATGTCAAAAAACTATATTTAAAATCAATTGTAATTTTTCTAATATACCAGATGTTCGTTCATGTATGCAATTAACAATTATTGTTTAGTGTATTGGCCTCAAAAACAGGAACTTACACGAAATCAATATCAGTTTGTCGGAACCAAACAGTTTAACTTATACCAAATACATAGTAAATTTGACACATCATATATTTAAAAAAATATTTATCAAGATGGCTTATTGTTATAAATTTGACCTCAATTCCTCATAGAATTTTCAATTTTTATGTGAGTTATGAGTACCTATGTAAAACATTAATATTTGAAAATGCCCATAATTCACTTAAAAATTAAAATATCGTAAAAACCAACGAGAGAACACAGATAATGTTATTACCTAAATGTTTGATAATAGGTCAATTCACTCTAATATCAAAACTAAAATCACACTATTGAAACTGGAGAATGACAATTTATCATGCGTCCGTGTGTAAGACAGAGACAACACATGCGGGTGCGACGTCTTCTTAATGCTTCGAGATTTTGAAAATAATGTCCTGACGACTATCACTAATAAGTTATATAACTCATAAGCAAGTTTGAAATTATAAAAAACTAGCTGACCCAGCAATGCTATATAATAAAAAAAATTGTAACTGTAAAATTTAACTACAAACTCTAAAGTAGGTATCAGCAAATGCAAACAATTGGTCCACCGAAACCGTGGTTTGAACTCGAGGCATTATGTAGGTACTAAAATACACAGGCTCATCGCATAAATAATAATAATTATTATTAATATAAAAACCAATAGCACACATTGATAAACAAACAAACATTTCTATCTTAAATCTCAAAATCCTGGTTTGAGAACCTTCCTGGGTTAGACCTCTTATTTACCTTTTTTTCTACAAAATTTAGCCTATCTTCTAAGGTCTAATCTATCTCTGTATCGAATTTCCTCTAAATCGGATGAACGGTTTACGAATGCACAAAGAACATGAGTATAGAAACAATTTTTGAGTTTTATAGATATAGATTAATTAACTCTACATTTAGACTAAAAGTGGAAATTACTTGTTCATTTCTTCTTCCATAAGTTTAATTTTCTTGAAATAATTAGCCATGATTTTGTGGGTATGATTGACGAAAGAAAAAATGTTTAGATATACCTACTTAACGACAATTTTACCTTAGAATGGTTTTTAACGACACATTTTTAGATAACTATAAGTTTCACAAGCTGCATTACATATTCATTGTTCAGTGATATTCCAATATGCAGTTAATAACCGTTTCACATAGATGTACATGTACATAGTTAAATAGTATTTTAATATTGTATCCATAGGCCTAACTAGGTACCTACCAATCCTATACCACGATGGAAAAACAAACATAACCATGGTAGCTGTAGTTTGTGTAACAGAATCACCAATCATATACACTGAACTCTTATACATGGAAGGCGCATTGTATAATATTATAGTATATTTTAATATCCTATCAAGTTATATTATATTATTTCGACCACGGACTTATAATAATACCTAACCTATTATAATGGACTGGACAGTGGACACGACAGGGTCGGCGTCGGCCACGAAAAGATGTCACTTAGTTGACAAGAATACTGTTCTTGAAGTTTTCAGCACTACCGGTGGTTTTATTTGGCTACACAATTTGTATCATAGTCCGCGTGAAATATAAAGGGCGTTGTGAACTCCAAGAACACATAACGACACTTTGCTTCTTGTACATACATTCGTGATGAGCTGCTCGTTTCCAGTCCGTTATGTCCGTGATTTCGACTTTTTACGAGGACGGATATTGATAACATTAGTTATACCCACGATTATAAAGAATTTCTTTATAATCGTGGTTATACCATTAAGTCAGTCTCTCGAATTCAAAATAAAATGCAGATATTCTATAGTGCAGTTTTTAAAATAAAATATATTATGACTATTAAGTAATAGGAAGTAATAGTCTCCCATTAACCATAATTTAAAAAAAAATATTGTTAATGTTAATACCTATATTAATAATTTATTATTCTTAAAAATAGAAACAATTCAAACCCTGCAGTTTACATTTTGTTTATCTATAAATATCATAATAATATGTAGATAACTATTAACAAAAAAATCTTTGTCTATTTTATATGAAACTTACTTAATATTTTAGCTATCTACCTGAATGAACCAGTTTCTGATAAGTAATAACTACTAAAAAGTAACAGTAAAAAAGTTAATGTTTATTCCAGGGACGGATTAAGCAATTATCCGCCTACAAGCAGAAAGACATTTTCTGTCCTTTCATTTTTTCAAGTTTTTTTGTTTAACCAAAAAATGCATAAAACTGCATTAGCAATTAAATTATGATTTATTATTTAAAATTAAATAATAAGATTATAATGTTGTCATTAAATGAATGTATACAACATTCTTTGTAAGCAATAAAATCACTAAAATACAATTTAATTGACAACAACAACGTATATTAAAGCTTATCGTCATAGTCCATAGCATAAAGCTATGAACATTTATAAAATAGTACCTACTACTAGGCTTTCCGATTTTGATACTGAAAAAATTTGAACTTGTTAGACAATTGTCTATAGATCGTATTGAACACTTTGTAAAAATGAAACCTTATATTTTTGTGAACTGTAATTGAAAACTTGAAAATATAGATTTTTTCTAAACATAAATAAAATTAAAAACGGAATTTAAATATTTTTTCTGAATCAAAATCAGACAACATTAACTATCTTTAATTTTGTCAAAACAATAATAGTAAGTTATTGTAGAATTCGTACAGTAAATTGTATATTGTTATCGACTTATTGTCAAGTGCATGGGTGTACGATAGTGGTACCCACATTGAATTTCACTTACACTAATAATCGTTTACAACTAACGTATAGATCCCGGACGGCTAAGACGAGATTAGAAATTGCATAAATTTGGCGCCTTGAATAATAGCCGTAATAATCGATTATGACACAACTACACAAGCCACTAAGTAAAGAGTTTTTCATACAATACATGTTTTAATGGGAATCGATCCGCTCAGTATCTAAAGTTGTAGAAACTATTGATACATTCCACTTTTACTTAGTTAATTATTTTCAGTACACAATTACAATTTCGAAATATTTGGACTAATTTGGAGCTAGTTATACACCATGAAAGGAATAGAAATCAAAAATAGATGCTAATGTTTACTCCAAGATGGTTTTCATTTTTTTTATGCAACTATTTATCATATTGTATTCAAATACATATAATACATACAACATACATTAAAATTACAGTGATCTATTAAATGACAGTACCTACACAATTGTTGAGGGGACGAAATTGCTGATTTGTTCGTCCCGGACGAACTGAAATAAATAATCGGTTTATTAATATTTCGGTTATCATTTTCAAAGATAACGTAGTTTATCGGCCGCAAACAGTTTTAGATATTTTATCGGCCGTTTGGTAATACCCTATGTAGTATGTATAGCTGTTTAGTGTATACGTCTTACACGTATTACACGTATCATGAAGTCGACCTGTAATGAGATCGAAGAATCGATCATCAGCAATAATATTATAACCACTGTAGTACTGTGCCTGTAATATAATACAAAATATCTTATCACGTATCGATTACGGCGGTGCTGGGCCTGTTGTCACGCGAAATCGTACCACACGAGTTCTAATCATAACCTACTGTACATTACACCGCGATACATATTTAAATCACGATTTCGATCGACCGATCCAACAAATTATTGTATAATATATCAAATTATCTGTGAAGCAACTATTATTATTCTATTGGTTTTGACTTTTGGTATAGTATGGATCGAGTGTTCAATGTAAGTATTAAATTCAAAATATTTGGCTAAAGCTAGTAGGTGGGTATAACAATATTTCCAACAGGCAATACGTTAATAACATTTTTTTTTTTATAAATCATAGTTTTATACTATCTATTATTTTAGCTCTTAACCAAGTTATTGATATAAAAATGGGCTTGTGGGTTTTGGTTAGAATCGATCTACCTTTTTAATTGAACTCGCAAACTTGGTGCAACTATATATAGGTATATAATTTTATCTATAACAACTTAAAATCTGTCATTTTTAATTAAACGTACCTATTAGTGTAAATATTTATCGAAGTAAATAAGGTATATACATATTCTTAATACTATTCATTCAACTATTCAAGGCTAGGAAGTAAAAACTCGTAGTATTTGCACAAATATTTTTAGATTTGGAAAAACTAAGATTAGTGAAAATTTGTTAAAATACTGTTTTACAGACATGTGCCCATTATCTTGAAGTACCTAAGAATGAAAACAAAAAAGGTTTGAAAGTGGGTGTCGCTCTGCTGTACAATAGGTTACAAGTGGGTCACTATAATGGATGGTGTTAAATTTGAATTAAATGATATTACTAAGTGTATTAGATGATATTATTGTGAATAATGTAATTTATATATCAAAACATATTTATGTAGGATCTGGTTTTAAATTGTCAATCCTTAGCTATAAAAGTTGAACATTTTATATATTTTTTAACTACTAAATAATTTGTGAATTTTCAATTCGATAAATTTTGTCAAAATTTGAACTTTAAATGCTTATTAAAAAAACATGCCTATATATTTTTAATATTTTTCAACTGCCATCGCATATTCGCATGTAACAATATATCGGGAGTCTTACGAGTCTTGTATTACATTTTCAAGCTTTTCGAATAAACAAATAAAACATTATTAATATTTATAAAAAAAAACTATAAACTAAAAATTAACATTTGATGAAAAATTCATGTATCTATACAGTTACTCGTTTTTGAATAACAATAAAATAAGAAAATCGATATATGAAAATTTGTTCATTTTCGGGTGAATATCCACCTCTAACTCAAACGCTCGTAAAATTTTAATTTGAGATAAGGTAAAGCTTTTTCTTTATTTAAATGCAGCAAAACTTAGGGGAATTTTGTATTATTTGATATTTTGATATTTCAAAGCTTAGATATAAATAGAAACATTTTTATGAATTTCTAACTCGAAATAATTCACCAATTTCTGTTATTTTAATGAATTTTGTCAACATTTTAACTCCAGAGGCTCATCAAAAATGTCTATGGATTTACATTCAAACTTTTTTTTTTAATTTCCACTAATAATAATTAACAACTTATGAGTACGTTGTTTTACATTTTCAAGTTTTTTGACTGAGCATAAAATATTTTATCGACAATAAAAAACAAAAAACTATAATAAAACTCGAAATTTCCTTATGCCTTAAAATAGCTCAAAAATATAAATAATAATCATTACCTATTAAATATTGCATATTTACAATGTTCGACGCTGTTTCTGTTCGAAGCATTTGCAGTATGTCCGGTGTCCAACATGTTCCCGAGTTTTCTGTTGCACCAAACACCGGGTGGAGCACCAGCGGCGCGTGCATGTCGCGGTTCCGGGGGGGCAGGTGATTAGGCGCCGTTTCCGGTCTTCGCAGGTTCTCCCCCAGTCGGGAAAACAGCAGATGGTCCATGCCGGTGGCCACTCCACTAACGGTCGGAAGAGATTACACGGCATGGCCAGCACCTCGACCACGGCACAGTCCATCGGAAGTGGCCTGAGGTTGATGGAGCAGCGTCATCACCGCCGGGTGGAGGAGCTGCGCCGGACCGAAGAGCAGCGTTGTACCGAGGAACTGCGCAGGACCGAAGAACGGCGATGGACTGTGGAACAACGTGCGGCGATGATAGAGATGTGCGCCAGGACCATACTCAAGGCTCGTCGGTCCAGTCTGACGACCATCAGACACCTGCGCCCGGTGGCCGAAAGCAGTCCCGTGGTTCCATTGCCGCAGCCGTGCACTCCGCACACCACGTGCACGGACGCAGCGGAGTCTGCGACCACGCCTGTCGAGTGGTCGGTAGTCGTTTCGTCGGTGGGCAGCCCGCCGAGTTTTTACCAGACGCCGATGCAGACACCGACGCAAATGTTCCAGGACACGCCGTTGGTACAAAAGCTCCCGGACAATCAGTTGCAAAAGCTCCCGGACACTCAGTTGCAAAAGCTCTCAGACACGCCGTTGAAAACGCTCTCAGACACGCAGTTGCAAAAGCTCTCAGACACGCCTTTGCAAGGGCTCTCGAACATGCCGTTGCAAACGCTCTCGGACACGCCGTTGCAAACGCTCTCGGACACGCCCGTCAAGGGCAAACCACGGTGCAATGGCGAAAGTGTTAAGCGAGTGTCGTCAGACGATGGTCCAACACAAAAAGGTATGTATAATGTACATTATAATCTTTTTTTATGCGTAAAGGCATCAGTCACTTTTGCTGTAACAAAAAATAAAATTAAATCATTTGTGTTTTCTCATAAACGTTTAATACATTATTGTACTTGCGTTTAAACTTGGTTTTTACTTTTTGCATTAAGTATAACATTATCAGATTTTAATCAATTTAAATTTTAAAGTTATGAAAACTGAGCTATTTTATATAAAATGCTAAGTGCCGTCAATAGGTGGCTTCTTACTCAAAATTTCAAGTCATTGTAATACTTTTACCACATAGGCTTATTGTGCATACAAATGTGTAGGTTATTTATTTCAAATAAAAAAAAAAAATGTGTTTCAAATAAAGTTTTGCGAAATGTTTTACAGCAAAAAAAATTAAAACAATTTAATGATTTTGAGAAAATGTGAATTGTGCTTTCCGATAATTTACCTATAAAGAGAGGTATAAGAAACATATTATGGAGTTCGATAGTTAAAATTAAAATCTGTAACATTTAAAAATTTTCAACAGGATTTTTCTGGTCGAACATGGCTCGTCGCTTCCGTTGGGCGTTGCGGTCAACTAAACCCAAAGTCCGCGAGAACGGCTACTGTCCATCGCCGTCTGCAGCAGCAAACTTGGACTACGTCATGGTCAATCCTTACGGCAACATCAAACCTAGGCGGCCAATCTGCAACAACGACACGTTGACAACGCCCGTCCATGCCAGGCCATCGCTAGAGGCAATCCGAAAAGCCCACGAAGAAGCGAGCAAGGCATTTAATAAATTTATGACAGATTAAAATATGTTGCCCGGCAAATGCAATAGACATACTTCACTTAGTGACAGGTAATTTTTTTGTATACACCTATGTGTTATTTATCTACTGATTTTATATGTTTTTTTTTAGTTTTAGACTTTTAGTTTTTTTTAAGACTTGGATGATTAATTGTAATTTTATTTATAACTTGATAATATTACAAATTCATGGATTTACTGTGTTTTTTTTCTCACTATTTCGTTATGTATTTTTTTTTATCTGAAATGTACCAAGTATTATACAATTGTGTTTATTTATTACCAAAACAAAATTTAAACATTTGAAAATTGTCTATACGTGTCTTGTTCTAATTGATCATTATTATGATGGAATTTCATAATGTGATATTAAAATATAGATGGTTTAATATAAAAGTATAACATTTTATTTTATTACTACCTACTCAGGATAACCAGATACACTTGAGATTTAATTTCTGTTTTCCCCCTTGAATTACATTTCACAACAATAACAATAGTTACTTCCCAAATATTTCCCAAGTGTTTTTATATTTTAAACAACGATAATTAATAATAATATGTTAATTTAAAATAAAATTTGAATATTTCAGTTTTCCCCCTTACCTACCTAATTATATTATGAAAAATATAAGTCGTAAGTGATAAGTCATATCAGTTTACTATGTACCTATAACTTTTGTAAAAAATGTTATTACTACTTGTTATGGTCTGTGGTCTGTCAAATGAAAAAAATATTATTAATACTACAAACTAGTAATGTACTCATGTTTTACTTTTATATATTATGTTATATTTTTATTTAATTTTATAACATGAAAGTAGGTATATGTGACTTGAGTTATTAATATAAACAACATATTATAAGTAACGGTCATACAATATTGTAATAGCTAGTATACATTTATACTGCTAAATATTAAAATATCTGATAAATTAACGGTAAACATCCACCAATACCTATTTACTTAGAATAACTTACTTTTAGATATTAAAATATTGTATAGTTTGTGTTGTGTGTTGTGTCTTTCCACCTCGCTTTGTTAAGCAACAGACTTGTTAGACTACCATATAAAAGTGGAATGGTGGCGGTCCATTAAAACACAACACGACAATTTATTTGATGTTTTCTGGGATGACGTAAACACAGAATATCAATAGGTTAGGTATAGGTATATAATGTGTTAAAATAATTGAGAATTATGATCATCAGCAATACCAATACATTAAGTACATTTTAGTTATTTTAATTGTTATTTATCACTAATCAGTAGGTAGGTATGTAGAAATTATAAACAACCTTAAACTTTTTTGGTAGGTATAGATAGCTTCTTACACGGTAGGTACCTATAGCATATTCTGCATACTACACCAACGAAGTATCAAGTAGAGTTAAGTAGCATACTACACGAGTACCAAAAATCAAGCAACTTGGAATAAGTAATGATAATATAATTTGTTGAAGACATTTTCAAACTTAATTGATTTTTTCAGCTATTTAATACAATTTTATGTTTGCCTTAATGCGTTAATGAAATACACTCTGTTACTAAGCAGTTATCATTCCGTTGTCAAAATATGGTGCGCGGACGTTTATATTATTGCATTGAAACAAAAATGTTATTTTGAAGGTTACCTAGTATAAAATATAATATAGGTAGTTTTAAGTGGAATATTATCAGTGCCGAATTACCTATATTAGACTGTGTGGCCGTATGGGTGACAGAATAGTAGCACGATTATTTTTTATATTTGATAATATATCTTGTTTTTATGATTTAAAAATTTCTTTGAGAGATTTGACTAGATTATGTATGTTTGAAAATAGAGAAATTGTCAAACGATAAATTATGTGGTCCGGAAATGCTTGTTGAACAACACCTCCAAAATTCAAGATTGGTTCGTGCAATTACTATATAGGTACTGTCCGTAGTCGATAAAAATAATAAATACCTCAAAGACCACATATTATCTGTTTTTCTTATTCTATCATAGTATTTAACCTAATCGTGTAAAGTTTCATTTAACAATTGCTCGTTGAATCGATATACCGGTCCCGTTGATTTGACGTTTAATTATTGAATGACAATAGTGTTATAATAGTAAGTACTGTTTTTATACCATTTTGCAATTATTATATTGGCTAAAAAATGTTTAATTTTACTTAAAAGTCAATGCTATACATATTACATACCTATTAAATAACATATTATTTCATTGTTACTTATTAATTCATGAATAATTTTTAGAAATGAATATTTTTAAACAAGTGTGTTTAATATCATATATTATAAAAATATTTATTTATTTAGTATTCCCTCCTAAAAATATAATATTTTGAGGAACGTTAGAAGGTTTTAATAGCTTATGTTTTATACAAATGTAAATCAAAATTATTCTGTTTAGTTAATAATTTCTTTGATCTTATATTTTTCTCGCTGAAAAAATATTTCATGGATCATATTGCTATTTTTTGTTATTTTTTTATTTAAATTATTTAAGAATGATATATTTTTAACATTCAGCAAATATATAAGTAATGTAAATTGTAATATGTAATACAATAACATGAATATAATTATAATTCATTATCGTCAATTCGGAATTTATTTAATGGTACAATTTATAAATATGAACGATTAACAACAATATTAATTATTTTTTGAAATAGCAAGATTTTAATTAGATATGATTTTTTTTAAATAATTTTATTTCTAATTGTATTGAGAAGGGTGATAACTGATAAGTGAATTGATGCGAGGTTTTTGAGGATCGTTAGTTAAAGATTATAACTGGATTGAAATATTTTCGAAATTGAATTGGATGATTATTTAATATTGGTATTTGGTTTATAACATTATAGATTGATTATATTTATTTGAATATTTATATTTTGTGAATGTGAGAGGTTTGTGGTGAATTTGTAAATAGATTCTGAAGATACCTAGGGTTTTAGTATATTTCTAAAACTGAACTTCGACTCGTGACTTTCTGCTTGTATTTTCAATCAGCTTTATACTCTGTTGAAGACATTTTTTTTAAAGTTTAATATTTTTTAGTACTGTAAATATACGTCATCTTTTGTAATTTTCTGGGTGGTTTCCAAGGCAGATTATGTATTTAGATGGTTGTTTACGATTTTTTGGATGCCATAGCGTACATAGCGTGACATTTGGAGTAGAACTATTCGTACGTCCATAATCCAGGTAGTTTATGAACTACTGGGAGGGGAGGAGGTATTTTATTTTATGGTCTCAATTTATATCTTCGTACCTTTGAATATATAAAAGTGAATAATTTTAAAGACACCATTATTAGTTAATGTTGAATCAAATGCTTCAAGTCAACAAAAAAATAACGATATCTCTGTACCAGGATTTTTGTTTGGTTAAGTAAGACATTGGTAATTTGGACGTAGTTCTCTGATTATGAAACCTATCGGTGTTGAACAATGCAATGACAAATGATGATGCGATAAATAGTTTCACCGCTTTCGGTTGGTAGATATGAAAATCTACAATTTTCTTCGTTAGAATTGTATAGTTGCCCAAAATGAATCTGATGTAAATAGATTTAATTTCATAGCATTTAGATTATTTTTATGAGACAATTTGGTTTCTAGTCTAGTTTCACTTTTAATGCTTTAGCAAAAACTGAAATGGCTTTTAATTTTTGATTTGATAATAATAGACAGTGTTTTTTTACACTATTATTAAGCGTAATATTAAGTATTATTACTATCCATCATAGGTATTAAAGGTGTATTTATTCAGCAGTCATCACTCGTCACTAGTGAAGAGTGTCAAGGCCCAAGGGCCAAGTTTTGATTGATATTTATTATCGTGTTAGTTGAATTTATATTACAAATTAGAAGGACATATTCATTGAGCAATAAAAATTCATAGAGGAATTTTTTTTAATAGTACAAAACGTTCACAAAGGGCCACCCTCAATGGTTGGAAAACGTTGTTGAGTGTGCAACATCTGAAATATTTTCATGACAGAACTATAGTTGAAGAGTTATTGATGAAGTGACGTTGTGTCGTTGTATGTGCTTTTAAAGTGGAAATTATTAATTTGTGGAGACATATATCAATGTTTTAATATTAAGAGTTATAATTTTGAAAGTAGATCAGAGCTATGGTGTAAACATAATATTATTTTTTCAGATATTAAAAAATAACATGGATGAAATCAAAAACACCAAAGTTTCCATCAACGTATTACCTATAACTGATAATGATAAACAAATTGTGATGAATTCTGTAAAACAGTATTTTTTCCGCGACGAACCTTTATGTGCAAGTTTAGGGTTAATGGAAGAAAAAGAATCAGTGATACAACTTGAAAATTTTTGCGCTGATATATTACAAAGCGGTGAGTTTATAAATATTAATTGAAAATGGTCCATACAAAACATACTTTATACATGTTATTACACACTGTAGTAAGTTTAATTGTTTAATTACAGATGGTACATACAAGACATACTTAAAACATATATTAAGTTTACATTAATATAAGAAGTAGAATATTACTGTATGCGTGTGTACCTACAATATAATGTGTTTATGAGTTGAGAGATAAAAAAAGGTTAAAATACTTTATCTAACTATAATGCAATTTTGACATAGTTAGTTTAAATGATTCGTCAACTGCAAATTCACTGTATCTTATCTTAAATGTTTTTGTGCAGCGATTTTGTTTCAACTTATATTGAAATTATAAAAAAAAAATTGATATCGTTATAAATCCATGAGATCTTAAATGGAGGGCTCTATTATATATATATTAATTGTCAGTAATATATACTTGAATTTTAAAATTTAAAAAAAATAAAACGTGAAACTTAAGATGTAGAAGCACATAAGTATAATAAACCAAAATACCTGCACGGCTACACATGATGAATATTAAGTTCAGAAGATTATATTTTATGTACATTATTAAAAAAAACTGATTACAGAAAAATGTAGATATCTACATATGGCATCGTACATGTTTATGAATTTGACTAATATAATTTATGTATACCACTACCTTGTGATATATTTTTATTCAGTCATATGTATATTAATTATTGACATTTGTTTAAAATATAATCAAAAAATGTCGAAATTTAAGTCTTAAAAATAGGGATGAAGGCAAAAAGTAGCCAAATAATAAATTTAAAAATATTTAAATAAGCACTTTTGTACATTTTCTACACCCATGTGTTGTCTCCGTCTTACAAATGTACAACATAGAAAAAACTGTTTTGCGCGGGACAGAACCACTCAGACTGTAGTGATAATTAAGACTCCAAATTTATATACAATATGGTTCAGAACATTATTTATGAAAAATCGTTTATATTTTTTTGATACCTATCACTTACATAAAAAAAGTTCTTATTGATTCAAAATTTATTAGTTTTTTTTGTTTTTAAAACTTAAATTACTGCTTTTGTAGCTCCGATATCGGAATAATAATACTTCAAATTTCTCCTTTTTAGGTGGTGAAAATTTGGTTTCTTAGTTTCGACTGTCACCTTCTCGGTTCATTCCCGCTAAAAACAGTTTATGCCATGTTTTAGTGTTTTACATTTATTTTGTAAGACGGAGACAACCACAAGCGAGTGTAGTGTCCTCTTGAGGACTATTATATATATTCACTATTGTAAATTTAAATAACATGTATCAACACATACAAAATACGATTTTTACCATTTAGGCGTATCGTTTATGGCAGTATCTGCAGAGACAGGTGAAATGATGGGTGCCTCGCTGAATACCACACTGTGCAGGGATAACGAAATTAAAAACACCAGTGACGAGAACAATGATAAAAGTTCAAAATATAATGATATCATGGTTTTCTTAGATAAATCTGAAAGAGATATTGATGTATTTGGGCAGTATCCAAATATTGATCGTATAATGGAGTTAAAAATTATTACAGTAAATGAAGCATATAGAGGACAAGGGGTTTGCAAAGCCCTTATCGACAAGTCTAAGTATATTAAATATAATTTATTTATAATCATAACATTAATTACTGGACAATTTATACTTGATACTGTAGATAACAATGGATATTCATAATTGTTAACTATAAGTATCCATTTTTCATCTATGATCTATTGATATTATATGCTCCTCTTATTATAAATGATTTTTATTTTCGTTAATTACAATTGCTAATATTTGGTACATGCCATGCTGCCATAGTGTTAATCTACTTATGTTTTTTTACTCAGAATGTTTAAATTAGATTATGTTGAGGTAATAACTCGTAATTAATATTTAACATCTAATATGGATATTATGCTCTTATCAAGATGAACAAAGTCAGATAAATGCTTGTAACATAGTAGCAGTTTGCAGTGGCCTTCAAGACACCATTATATATATTTTTTTTTAAATACAGTCAATCTTGTTTTTAATAAAAATAAAATTTTGGACAAGTGGGTACCACTCTGCTGTACAGTAGTTGTCGAGCATGTCGTTGTAATGATGTGTGGAAATAATTGTGTATAAACCATAACGAAAAACGATTCTGAGAGAAGAAGTTGGGTCATCCCAGCATACTTGTCTAAATAATCAAATTTAATAGGTAAAAAAAAAATGAATGGGTATACTCATAAAGTTTTTCATGGCCATAAATAGCTTGAAAAGAGTCAGAACTGTTTAAAAATTTGACTATGTAAATATTACTTAAATATGCTAATATAAATATTTGATGGATATTTCGATTGTCTGGGGTTATTCGATTTTGAATTACAACATAATATCAATAATCGATTGATGGCAATTCGTTCATTTACCGGTGAAAATTCAGTATCGTAAACATTTTAAATTCAAACGCTCATAAGAAAATTAATGTTACTTTGAGGTTACTTTTTTTTTGTTTAAGGAAGAAAAATTTGTGGGGAATCTTCTATTAAAATGTTCAAGTTTAGCTATCAAAAGAAAAACTTTTATGAACTTCTAAATGAAAAATAATTTGAAAATTTTAGGGATTTTTATGAATTTTTTCAAAATTTGAACATTAAACACATATAAAAAATAACATTGCACATGTATCTTTAATATTTTTTTCAGCTATTAAAACATCTTATGAGCACCCTTGCGTTAAATTTCAAGCTTTTTTACTGAGGGAAAAACGTTTTTATTGACAGAAATTTAAAAAAAATGTATGAACATTTGAAAAATGTCTCAAGGTTATTATTAGTTTCAAAAAAGTCAAACGGTCAAACATTTTCGAAATTGTTACCATAAATGGAAAATGCTGATGTTAATATTTAGTGTTAATTTAAAGGGTCTACGGTTATTAGCTTTTGAGTTATACCAAAAAAATTAAACCGATTTTTCAAAAATTTGTTTTGGGTAAAAATTACCATTTTTTCACTTTTCACTTACCATTTTATACATAATGCTTTCAAAAACTACTGGGATTTTCAATTTTGACTTGCCAAAAGTACCAACTAGACTCACTTTCTGTCAGAAAAAATTCTGAAAAAATTGGACTATTAATAAAATGTTGAAATAGGTAATATATTTTTCCAGGACCCACTTAGAAAAATGTTGAAAATCTACCATTGGTCTCTATTACTTTGTTAGCGCCGTTATAACTATACGGGTTTTGGGGTTCAAAGTTTTAAATTTACGAAATTTTGAACGAAAATTTTTTTTATGATATATATAATTTAATATGTTATAATTAATAATATTCTCCCTATCAATAAAAACAAACTATTTTTTTGTGTTCGTTCCTGCAATGAACTTATAAAAAGTGTAAAGTTCCAATAAGCAACTTAAACAATTGTTTTACCTAATTATTATATTGCATATAGATAGGTAAATATTATAGGACTATTGATAATACCTTAATAATATTAATTTAATAATATGTTAATTTCTAGAGAGTTGGCATTGGAGTTAGGGTGTCAAATGATTTACGTGGAGTGCTCCAGTCATTTTACTGCAAAAGCTGTTGAAAGATTTGAATTTCAATGTATATATTCGTTGTCTTATACAGATTACGTGAACAAGCAAGGTGATGTGGTGTTCAAGACACAGTCTCCTCATAAATATTTCAAAGTCCATGTATTACTTCTCTAAAATATTTTATATTAGTTTACATAGTTAATAGTTGTATACCTAACTAAATCTGTAACGGGTTGAACCCAAATAAGAGAACATTAACATTATGTATAATTTAAACTTTACAATAATATTTGTTATACCACCATAGACGTAAAAATGTAAACAATATAAATTATTAATGTACATGGATAGTTTTTTTCGTTATGCGGCTATAATAGTAATCAATAAAAAAATATATAAATTTACAGTTATTATACAAGGAATGAGTAATTGTCTATTTTATAAATAATTATTGAATTTTAACTATTCAAAGTTTGGACGAGTGCTGCTAAAAGTACCTTTAGTATTGAGATGCAAATTTTTGCAATGTAGGGTTGCCAATATGTCACCAAGTTTTTTAATATTAAGTGTCCTGTTGTTTCCGATTGATCTTAGGCTGGGGCTATACACGGCGATATTCGCCGCGAAATTCGTCGAGTGGATTTCGCGGCGAATATCGTTCTGTCTGGCTATACACAGCGAATTCGCGTGACGAATTCGTTCTATATTTTCGCCGCGATTTTCTGAATATAGTTACCATATTTTTGACATAGTACAATATATTTGGCTCCGGAATAGTTCCAAAGTTATTTCAATAACTCTATAATTAGATATCTATACAATTATATACCCATCTTGTGGGGTGAGTTCTCGAACATTCACATTCCATAGGCAAGCACGTGCAGTACCTATTCATTATTCAGTTACTTTTGTTGTGTACATCGCTCCAGTAGAGCCACCGTTAAACCACAGTTAAACCGTCGAAAATATGACGTCTGATGAATTCAGTACAGCTGAACTGGTAGCCATTGCATTAGCATTGGAAGAAGATGAAAAAAAAAAAACTACTAAAAGAAAATACGCTGTACATCCACTGAACGGGGAGAGAAGAAGAAAAGGCCAATTTCAACAAATTTACGGTGATTTACGTCAATACCCAGAAAAGTTTTTTTCCTTCTATCGCATGTCTACGCAAACATTTGATGAAATGTTGAGTATCGTCAAACCAAACTTATCAAAGTTGGATAATATAAAAAATGATACGATAACACCGGAAGAACGTTTGACAATTACTTTGAAGTGAGTAGTTAATATAGGTTCCTATTTGTGTTATGTACTATATTTTAATTAGGTAGTCATTTACTTTATTAATAATAATACAAAAATAAAAATAAATTTTACACCTTATAAGATCTGTTATCAACAAATTATGATAATTACAACAGAAATAAAAAATTATAATAAGAAACTAATAAATATTACATCTTGTAATCAAAATAGTATATAATATTAACACATTATAAAAAAAAAAAATACAAAAACATTCTTGAAATATAATATACATTTTTATAAATTAATGGTTTATTCAAGACTATAATTATTATTGGTATGGCCATTGGGGTCATTTTGTGTTATAGACGGCAATGAAATATTTAGATAATTTGGTTGTAGATTTTTACTTGAAATATCTAGCTGTGGTGGGGGCATAGTGTTGTGATATTGATACGGTGGTAAAGAGTATAATAATTCATTCGGAACTTGATAATATGGTCTTTGTGATTGTGGAATGGCGGAGGGTGATAGATTAGTGGTTTGAGGTTGACTAGCTGGTGTTAAATATTTTTTCATACATTCCATGATTTCAATTCGAAATTGAAAATTGTTTTCGGTGTTCATCCTTCTCATTGATGGTAACAAGGAAAGTAAAAAATGTTTGTTTTCATCAAATTCTTCTGGTTTTGTTTGAGTTCGATTTTTTTCGATTGCATTCAATAAATTTTCTTGAAAAGTTGAAAGTTTTTGTTTACTTTGCTTTGGTGTTACTTTAGTAGCAGCTTTTGTTGGTAATGTTTCTTCGCATTCTACAGAACCAGGGGAATCAATGATATTAATGTCCTCAATTTCATTTTCATTTTCATGAACTATGTTTCCTTCGGTACTGCAAATAATAATTAGTAAATAAATTAAAAATTATTAATTTTTTATTAAAATATTAAACTAAATTATTAAATATCAAAAATACTAATAAGATATTTTAAGTTCAAATGTTGACAAATTTGGATAACTAAACGAAAAATAATGGTTATAATAAATTTATTGTAATTTAAAAAAACATTATAGACCCTTAACCCCAAATAATAATAAAAAAAAAACTTGTAACTTTTTTCCAATATACGTATTTTAGATTCTGAAATTCTGAAATTCACAGAATATTAATAATAATATTACACCATAATGAGTAATACCATTGATTATAAATACTAATATTTTTACTAGTATTTTTTATTTGTTGGGTAAAAATGTGTGAAAATTGAATGCAAGGCTCCTGATAATGTTACAATAGCAGTTGAAAAATATTAAAAATACATTTAAAATTTAATAATTATTCTGTAGTTAAAAATGTATTAAATGTTCAACTTTTATAACTAAGGATTGAAAATTTAAAACAAGGTTCCGCGTAATTAGGTTATAATATATAAATTACTTTATTCACTCAGAATCGTATTTCTTATACAAAGATATAATATCATTGAATTCAAATTTAAAAACATCCATTACAGTGACCCACTTGTAACCTACTGTACAGCAGAGCGACATCCACTTACCCACTTTTTTTAAAATTTGAAATTTCTAAGAAATAGAAGTATATTAAATAGGCACAGCATTGAATCGCTATAACAGTGTTTAATAAATGTGTATTTGATACTTACGTTCTGCCGATTAAACTTGGCTGAAGAAATGACAGTATGTCATAATAACAATACTTTACTTTTTTCTTCATCGAAGACCCTGATTTAACATATTGTTGATGTTCTCTTTTAAATGTATCACGTAGGTTTTTCCACCTTTTCATAATTTCTTTCACTATTTAAATTAAAAACCATATTTTATTTATTATACCATTTATGCCTTATGAATACAGAATTATAATATAGTAACTACCTACGTTTGAAAATTATTGTAGAACAAATAATAAATTGGAAATCTTTAGATTAAATTAAGATAAAAAAGGTGGCTTATTTACTATTAGTATTATGATGGTTGATTTAATTTTTTCCGGAAACATTGCATACATTATATAAATTAATAATAATAATAATTGGCTATATTTTTATCATATTATATTATTGTGATTAATTTTTGAGTCAATATTACCCCTAACTGTAGAACAGTAGAACAGTGATATAAAAATGTAATAGCTTAAAATTAATCTCAATATTTTGGAAATGCCATTGCAAATAGTATAGTAAAATAGCTGAAAAAAAGCAAAAATATTTTGAAAATTTAATGTAAAAAATGCTAACATTTTTGGTGACAATTTAAGTTTAAAGTTTTTTCACGCTTACATACGTAAACAAGCCACACACACATACACACACACACAAAAAAAAAATTTTAAAATTGAAACAAAAACATTGTTAATAATCACTCCTCTTAGAATCTAAAAAAAGTATTTCATTAACTAAATTTACTATAGCTATTTATTTACAAAAAAAATTAACATTTTTGGTGAATATTGCTTTTCAGATATTTAGCGACGGGTGCTACATTTAATCAACTACATTTGGATTTTTTAATTGGAAAAAGCACAGTTCGAGTGATAATAAAAGAGACTCTTGCAGCTTTGTGGGAAAAATTACAGCCTTTGGAAATGCCAGAACCTACTAAAGAATTATGGATAAAGACAGCAGAAGGATTTTATAAAAACGCAAACTTCCCCAATTGCATTGGAGCAGTTGACGGGAAACATATTCGAATTATAAACCCAGCAAAGAGTGGATCAAACTATTATAATTACAAACACTTCTTTTCGATTGTTTTAATGGCTTTGGTAGATTCCAATTATTGCTTTCTTTCAATAGACGTTGGCGCTTATGGTAGAGAAGGAGATCCTAATATATTTAAGAAGTCACCTTTAGGGAAAAAATTATATGATCGACAATTGGATATACCTTGTGAAAAAAAGTTACCAAATGATAATGGTGGTAAGGAACAACCATTTGTTATTGTTGGAGACGAGGCATTTGCGTTACATGAAAATTTGTTAAGACCTTACCCGAGAAAAAATTTAGATATAAGAAAAAGAGTTTTTAATTTTAGACTCACCCGGGCAAGACGCTATGTTGAGTGTACTTTTGGGATTTTAGCAAAGAAGTGGAGAGTTTTTCATACACCAATTTTAGTTGAGCCGGATTTTGCTACATTAATTGTAAAAACAGCATGTGTGCTACATAATTTTGTTCGTCGTCGGGATGGAGTAGAATACGATGATATGTTTCACTGCACACTAGAGTCTATCGACTTAACTCTTCGAGGATCAACCAATAATGCTCGAGATGTACGAGATTACTTCGCTACATAATTCGATAGCCCGGAAGGAAAACTCGATTGGCAGTACAATGCAATATAAATTATAAATAAAGTTATATTTTTTAAGAAATAAATTTATAATAAATATCAATAATATTTATTTTATTTTATTTTACATACCAACCTACTTTGTTTTTGAAATTATTATATATCTTTTAATATGCCTAGCCGCCTAGGTATACCACTAAAGGATAAAAATAATAAATTATAAGTATTTAAAATACATCTGAGATTAGTCCATGAATGAAAAATTATTCGAAAAATAAAAATACCTATATCTAATACCATACGTGTTGGCGCGTATATATTTCAGTAGAATAAAATATTATAATAAAATAGGATATTTAACAATAATAATTTAAATATAAGTATTTTAAATTATGTACAGTAATTGTTGTTTTAATTAACCAACATCAAATTAAATCAAAATAGGTTTAAAGCATTTAATGTTTCGTAAAAATGATATAAAATCTGTAATGTAAACATGGTTTATAAAGTTTAAAATGTAATGGTTTAAATGTTTAGGTACTTACCAAATTCATCTTTTTGAGTTTTACTCAGTGTATCCCAATTACCGTTCGAAGCAGCAGCTACATCTTGCCAGTCTTGAAGTTTCTTATCCCTATTTTTGTACTCTTCACTTGAAGTGTCCCAAATAGACGGCTTCAAATGAATTTCCATAATGAGTCTCTCGTTGTCAAAATTAGCCATGTTGACGGAAAGACAGGCGACGGAATAATAATTCAGTTTTACAATTTTATAATAAGTAATACCTTTTTCGTACCAGGTGAAAACTAAAAATAACTTAAAACTAATAATAATATAAATAATATTATAATATCGTGTTTATTTATATAATACGATATTTACAATTTTACAATAATATTATATACCTATATAATATGTACAATAATATTGTATAAAAATACCGTATATTGTTAAAATCGACGCGAAATTCGCTAAACCGAAATACCCGTATAGCCGCTATCATTAAAAGCAATGGTAATTAAGGCTGGGGCTATACACGGCGATATTCGCAGCGAAATTCGCCCGGCGGATTTCGCGGCGAATATCGCTGTCATCGAAAACCTATATGTTTAAATCAAGCCGGCTATACGATTTCGCCGCGAATTAAACCGCCGCGATATTCGTCGACGGCCGACGATTTTTTTCAAAATCGCCCAATCCATAAAATCGCGTGACCGTTAGTAGCCGTGTATAGCTATAATTTATAATATAATAGTATATTAGTATAAATCACTTTATAGCTGAAGCCTGGAGTACCTATGACCTACCTATATATATAAGTAATAAGTTGGTATACCTATTATAGGTAGGTCAGGTAGGTGCCGTAGGCAGTGGCGGCGCCAGAACTTTAATACCAGGTGGGCCAGGCTGGGGCCCAAATTTTTTAGGGAGGGCCAAATTGTTGACTTGATATATATATATATATATATAAACAATAGTGATGACAGGCAATTTCGCAGAGGGGTGAGGGGGAGGGTCAACTTCCAATTTTTTTTACACTTCATCGTGTAAACTTACTAAAACAATGATTTGTAAACATGTATTGTATTAATAGTATTTATTTGCTAACAAAATATATATTCATGTAAACACTTTTTGATTTTTATGCTCCCTAACCCATAATTACACTCAATACCAATGAATATTTAATAATAATTTATTATTTTCGTATTCAGCCACTGGAAAATACACGTTATTTATGAGGCTTGAAAGCATATTATAGTGCATATAGTTTTAACCCATTCAAAATGTTGTTCACGCCATCTATTATGACTTAATATTTTCATATTTTAATAAATCATGATTTATTCATGAGATATTTTTTAGTATTCTAATATGATTAAATTTAATTTTTGTGGTGGGCCACAGGGGGGGGGCCGGAGACTTTTTAAGGTGGGCCCGGGCCCACCCTGGCCCACCCCTGGCGCCGCCACTGGCCGTAGGTACCTACCATATTCACTAATATTAGTGCTGTATTTATGTCAGTCGTAATAATTTACCTGATACACATAATATCAACATTTATATTAGTTTGTACACATTAAGTGATTATACTCTTAGTCTTTACCTACTCTTTTCCATTTAGAAGTGTTGTAACTTGTAGTTTTAAGATTTTCACTATTTAATCTAAATTAAGGTAAGTAATACCTAGGTAGATATCTAAATAGTTGTTTTTTAATTTTCTGAGAAAGTGAGTATATATAGACAACTTTATTAATATAAATACATAAATATAGCGGACTGCTAAGTTTGTGAGTTGTCTTACAACTCAGTTTTACGTTAAATACTCTTGTACATAGTTGGTATAATAGAATAAAATATACATGGATATAAATAAAATAAAATAAAGATAATAATCAAATTAATAGATAAACAGAAATCAATAGAATGATTACAATATGAATAATTGTTAGTTACGAATATAAATGATAATAGAATATAAATATAATTAGGTAGGTACAATTTCATTTTTTTTTTGTCCAGTCTAATAAGTAATAATCGTAGAAGTTTGGTTGAGATAGGTATTTCAAATAGTTTGTACAACTTCAAAATTTCAGCTTTTATAGCGGAAAAATCTTCTGATCATCAATTTCGGTTGAGGTGTTTTGGTGGAAAATTGGATCTAGTTGGTACTTTTTGGTACCTAGTCGAAATTGTAAATTCTTAGTACCTACTTTTTAAAAGAAATCTAGGAAAATTATGAACATGTGTTAAAAATGTAATATTATTATGTTTGTTAGGCTGTCTTCGCTTGGATTGTGTTTGATATTTCTCTAAAATTGTCGATAAAAATTGTTCGTTTTGTCAAAAAGCTAAAAAAGTTAAAAATACAAGGTTCCTTAAAAAGTTTTATCATTGCTAAGTAGGTATAATAATACTCTCGATACATAGGTACCTACAATGATTTGTTATAAGAGTTCTCAACTCAGATTAGGATTTCTCATACAATAATAGGGATATAAATTCAAATTTAACACCTCCTTTATCAGTGCCCCCCTGACTACGATTTAGCCCCCCCCCAAAAAAAAATATATTCCTTATTGATTAAGATAAAAGCCGCCTATGGGTTATTTTAAATTAATAGTTTTGTTAGGTGAGCTACAGCCCAAAATTTAACCCTAGTTGCTCCTATGTAATAATTTATTATAATGAGTACCTACCTAGTAACCTACTTGACAGTTGACACCTACTGTTCAGCAGAGCGGCTTATACTGCCCCCTCAACTCAGATTAGGATTTCTCATACAATAATAGGGATATAAATTCAAATTTAACACCTCCTTTATCAGTGCCCTCCTGACTACGATTTAGCCCCCCCCCCCCCAAAAAAAAATATATTCCTTATTGATTAAGATAAAAGCCGCCTATGGGTTATTTTAAATTAATAGTTTTGTTAGGTGAGCTACAGCCCAAAATTTAACCCTAGTTGCTCCTATGTAATAATTTATTATAATGAGTACCTACCTAGAACCTACTTGACAGTTGGCACCTACTGTTCAGCAGAGCGGCTTATACTGCCCCATTTTTTAGATTCTGAGTGAAACGATGAATGTATTGATTTTACAATGATGTGTGTTTTTTTTTTTTATTTTTTTTGTGTCTGTGTACACGATAAGTAGTCGAAATAATGCTTCGATTTTCGACTTCAGTATCTTGTTCGATTGGAAAGTGAATATAGTTGGTGCATTGGGGAGGTCAAAATTAAAAATTCCCAGGACTTTTCAAAAGCGCCAAGAAAAACAAAAGAAAAATTAAGGAAAAACGGGAATTTTTACGCAAAATCGATTTTTCAGAAAATTGAATTTGGTTTTTGGTGTAACTTTAAAACAAATGACCGTAGATACATGAAATTTTCATTGGTTGTTTATATTTGCATTTTCTATACACGATAACATTTTCAAAATATTTTGATTTATTTTGAACAGTTTAGGGACATTTTCATTTTTCATTTTTTTTTAGTTTTTTTTCTAGAAATATCAATAAAATTTTATTTGTTGGTTAAAAAAACTTGAACATTTAATAGAAGGCTCCTAGTATATTGTTTCAAAGGCAGATGAAAAATATTAAAAATCGTTAGTCACAGTTTTTTTTTATAAGCATTTAAAGTTCAAAAATTGACAAAATATGGAAAAATCACGAAAATTAGCAAATTATTTTGAGTTAAGAATTAGTAAAAATTTTTCTTTTTAAATCTAAGATTTGAAAATGTAATACAAGATTACTCATAAGTTTGTCTACCTTTATCAATAAAAAAATCTCTACCGGACAGTCAAATTAAATTTTTATGAGCGTTTGAAATTCAAATTTTTCAACATTGGATGTTCACTCGATTTCTCATGTAGCGATTTCCATATTTTGTTGTTATTCATAAACGAATAACTATAGATACATGAAAATTTCACTGAATGTTTATGTTAGCATTTCTTATACACCATACAATTTTGAAAATATTTTGACTCTTTTTGAGCTGTTTACGGATATTTTCATTTTTCAATATTTTTAGTTTTTTTTTCTATGAATATCAATAAAGTTTTATCTGTTGGGCCAAAAAGTGTAAAAATTTAATACAAGGCTCCTGATATATTGTTACAATATCAGTTGAAAAATATTAAAAATACATAGGCACAATTTTTTTTTATAAGCATTTAAACATCGAATTTTGACAAAATTTTTCAAAATCTCGAAAATGATTAATCATCGTAATTAATAAATTATAAAATGTTCAGTTTTTATAGCTAAGGATTGAAAATTTAAAACAAGATTCCACGTAAGTAGTTAATTCTCTTACCGAAAAATCTAAAAAATATACAATCACAGTTTATTTTTATAGTCATTTTATGTTCAAATTTGGACGAAATTACATATTAAAAAACCTAGTTATCTTGTTGTGATTATATAATTTTATTCGTGGGTACCTACTTGAAACTTCTAAATAGTAAATTGTACTATTATATATCTATGATAGTATCATGGTTTGTTATTGATGTTGATGTATAACGTGTTATAAGTAGGTACCTAATGGATATTGTGATAATGTGATATGATTAATTTGGAATTTATTATAGGGCCAATTTTTTTTTTAATACCATAGATATGTATATAATTGGTCTTAAACCTAGACTGACATACCGTCTTCGCTCAGAATCGTTTTTCTTATACAATGATTTTGTATCATTGAATTCAAATTTAAAAGCATCCATTATGCAGTGACCCACTTGTAACCTACTGTACAGCAGAGCGACATCCACTTACCCACCTTTTTTATTTGTGTAGGCTTCGCTGATCCGTTAAAATGTATATGAATTTATGACTTGTTTACTAGTTTGCTATACAGTTGAAATACCTATGATAAATATATATATATAGGTATTTTTTTTTCATTTCACAAAACACCTACACAATCTAGATATAGAATTAAGCACAATAAGCATATACGATAAAGGTGACATAAAATGGATTTCTTGAATAAGAAGCCACCCTTCAGTGGCACTTAGCTTGGTGTTATGATAATAATAATACGGCCAATGTACCATAGGTATATAGGTAGGGGGTGACTTCCGCTCGTTAGCTCCCCTTGCGTACGCCATTGACCCAAGCGTCCCAATCTTATACAGCTGCTATTGTGTTGGACTTTAAGCCACTAGACTACGTTGCAGTAAACTATTTTTTTTAAATTAATTTTCCTTTCTCTAGAGTCTAGCATTATAGTGCAATACGATGTAGAGAAGATAGATCTTCTCATAGATAAGTATATATAATGGATCTTCTCTACATCGGGACTCAGACAATATAATATACATTTATCTACTTTGTGGTTACGGAATAGGGAGTTGTGGCGTTGTGCATACATCTTGAAGGACAGGTTCATGATAAGTTTTTATTTTCAACGAATGGATCTTCGCAGGAAAAAATGTTTTGTGTCCGTATATAATATTGCCTACATTTAGCCCCTTTTTTGCAGTTATCAAAATGTGATAACATTGATAAATCGATAACATAATTTTCATTATAAATTATAATATTACATTTTATTATATTAATTATAATTAAAATAGTTAAATACATTAATAGTTAATAAGTTATTAAAAATCGCAATATCGTAATTTAAAATTTAAAAATACACAATTCATTGAGAATACAGTATAAATGTACAATATATTTACCTGGAACATTGTTTTAAATTTTCAATCTTAAGCTATAAAAGTTAAATTATATAATAAAATTTGAAATTTGAAATTCGAACTAATACCCAGATAGCAATTGTGTAATGATATTATTATTATTACAGTACACAAAAAACATATTTTAAAACATTGCAATAAAATTATTGAATTACTTACAAACGAATCAAAACCTATGCAAACAGAAGATATAAATACAATCAACATAAAAAGAATATTGAAAAACAACCACGTTTCTTTACTAAAAATAAAAAAATAAACTTGAATTTCATCAATTGTCGTCGAGTGAAGGTAATATAATAAGAAAATCCTTACTAAATAATACAAGTGTTTTAAATGTTCATTCATATCACGATCATTCTTATAGCGCTAAAAGAAAATGAATTTCTTAATATATTGTTGAATTGTATCTTTTAAATGACGATCCTAAGTGAATAATGAATTTTGTGTTTTTTTTTGAATTGTGTATTATTAAGTTTATTAACTATTAATGTATTTAACTATTTTAATTATAATTTATAATGTAAAAATATCATGTTAGTTGGATAGTTATGTTATTATAATAACATTATTTTTATAACAATATTTGTGTACTATAATAATAATAATATCATTACACAATTGCTATCTGGGTACTAGTTCGAATTTTGAAAATATTTATCAAATTTTAAATTGTATTATATAATTTACCTTTTATAGCTAAAGATTGAAAATTTAAAACAATGTTCCACGTAAATATATTGTACATTTATACTGTATTCTCAATGAATTGTGTATTTTTAAATTTTAAATTACGATATTGTGTTTTTTAATAACTTATTAACTATTAATGTATTTAACTATTTTAATTATAATTAATATAATAAAATATAATATTATAATTTATAATGAAAATTATGTTATCGGTTTATCAATGTTGTCACATTTTGATAACTGCAAAAAAGGGGCTAAATGTAGGCAATATTATATACGGACACAAAAAATTTTTTCCTGCATTCGTTATTTTCAGTATTTTAGGCGGGTTACCGGATGATCATGGTAACCATGTTAAACACAATATGACTAAATAACTTATGGTTAAACAGTCAACCGCTAGATGGCAGACACATTAATAACAACTATCATATTAAACAATATTATAATCATTTTTATCTTATAAGCAATAGGTTGGCACACGATTAAAGATATACAGGTATATAAAGGTATATCTTTAATCGTGGGTTGGCACCACTGTAGTCTTTAACAGTGGTATATTGTGTTGGTCGCTGAATAATCCGATAACCCCCTCCTTACACCCGGTACGTCTTGTTGCGTTTCATGTTCCTCACCGAGACTGTGGTTATAAAATACATACTATAATCTTTTCCACCCGTGCTTGTTGACGACAACATTACCAAAATGGTGAGTACCCTATTTTATTTTTGATTTTTCATCCGTTCGGATCGTAATGGGATTCTACTTTACCAACGAACTATCGGACGCAATTGCCATGGAACCTGTTCGTCCGCCTTAATCTAATGGCACCTGGGCTGTGGACGTGCCTTTCACCAGTTATTTCTTTAGCCGTTGATTGTTGATTGGTGTTTTTCAGTCTTTGGTCATCCCAGAAAAGTTTCAACACATTTTGCGTATCCTCAGCACCAACATCGATGGCAAACGTAAAGTCATGTTCGCTATGACCGCCATCAAGGGTATCGGTAGACGGTTTTCCAACATTGTCTTGAAAAAGGCCGACGTTGACCTGAACAAAAGAGCTGGAGAATGTACCGACGAAGAGGTTTGTATGATTTGTTATTCGATAACCTTTGTATGCATTTAACGTCATCATCTCCGTTCAAGACGGTTGCAAACGTCTTTGAGAATATTACGTAAATTATTTCACGTAGTACTATTTTACGTTTGCTAAAGCAAATGCCTTGCAATTACCAAGGGCTTTTGGTTGACCATTACTAAGTGGCCCATGCATGTGAAGGAATAACCTCAATAGTTGTTTATTTTCAATATGAGTTATATTAATATGAAATGATTAAACGGTTGATTTGTGAAAATTAAACTTGCGCACATTGTATAGAAATTCAATTGTTGTTATAATGTTTATCCACATTCAGTTTCTACTACCTATGTTGTAGGTAATTTACACTATAAAAAGAAATTTTCTAGCACATATTGAGAAATTTTGCTTGCCAATACTTGTAATGCTAAATGGTTGAATTGTGCAAAATCAAATTGTACTGCCTGTCTTTGAGTTATTTAATTATATTTAATTCTTGCATATGCGTTTACAACATTATCTTACACATTTCTAGGTAATTAATACTAAAAATATTAGTAGGTAGTAAGGTAATAAGTATCTTCAATAACTAAACTTAAATTATTCACAAGACATATTGAACGCCTTAATTTTTCGAGAAGTTAGTATTTCAATTTTTACAAATTCAATGCACGGTATTCTATAATAAATTGCATTCATTTAATTTCTAAGTAAATGTTGCAAAGTCTGTGCTAAAACAATTATCTTCATTAGGATAATATAAATGCAATTTATTCATTTGATATTCTATCGGTGAAGAGACAATAAATTATAAAATATCATATTTTTTTAGCAGAAAATATGGAAATACTAAATACCTGAATTGTACAATGTGATTGTAATTACTAATTCATGAATAAGCATAATCAACGGTTCATTATATATGTATATAATGAAATTGGTAAATTATGCAAAATTAATAATTATATATAAATCTATTTAGTAAATTTATTTGATTGAAATTTCCTTAGATTTATTTTAAGGACATGACTGCAATAAATCAGTATCTATTGAATATTGTGTCAAAAGCGTAATTATTTGTTACTATTATGAATCTCTTCTAATTTCTTTTTAATAGCATACAGTAAAACCTCAAAATACTGGACACTCTCGGTTTATGAAACTGTGTTTTTGAAAGGTGTGCTATTCAAAAGATTCAGATTGTAGAAAGTTTGTAGTTGGTTCCCAAGGAAATGTCCTCTATTGATAGGTGCCCATTTGGAGAGGTTTCAATGAATTTATAAATTGGTTCATTCATTTTTAGGATCATAAAAATTTGAATTATACACAACTTAGGTTATTTCAATTTAATTAATATATTTTTATGCACCGTTTATTTTAATAATGTTACATTTATTTCTTATTAAATGTCAAGAATTCTGTGCTAAAACAATAATCTACATTAGGATAATATAAATGCAAAATATTCATTTGATATTCTATCGGTGGAGAGATAATAAAATACCATATTCTTTTAACAGGAATGTAAAAAACTAAATACCTGAACTGTACAATATGATTGTAATTCACGAATCAAGCATAATCAACGGTTCATTATGTATGTATGTAATGAAATTGGTAAATTATGCAAAATTAATAATCATTAACAAATCTATTTAGTAAATTCTATTTAATTGCAATTTACACAGAATTTGTGGAAGTACATGACTATAATTTATCAGTTACCTATCTATTGGATATTGTGTTAAGCATAATAATTTATTATTATGAATCTTCTCTAGATAATTCTTTTAAAAAAAAAGTATATTTATAGATAGGGTAGTTTATTTTTAGAATCATCAGAAATCAAATATATTTGTATGCACCGTTTATTTGAATAATTTAACATTTATTTCTTATTAAATGTCAAGAATTCTGTGCTAAAACAATAATCTACATTAGGATAATATAAATGCAAAATATTCATTTGATATTCTATCGATGGAGAGACAAAAAAAAATATCAATATACTTTTTATGTTGAGGCACTCGGCGCCAATCACGGACTAAGATATAATGGACTGGAAACGACAAGGTGGGCGGGTGACGGGGGACGGCCCGCAAAAGGTGTCTCTGTTATCATCAACACTCATAATCGAATGTTTTCAGCGCTACCAGTGGTTTTATTTTGCGTCACATTTTGTATCTCAGTCCATGTTTTATACAGAGGGCGCTGTAAACTCTCGATTATGGTTGCGACCCCCCGCATTTGCTTCTTGTACATACTTTCGAGGCCACTGATAAGCTGCTCGTTTCCAGTCCATTATATCTTAGTCCGTGGCGCCAATGTAATTTTAAACACAAATACGCTTTACAAGAATAATTATCCTGTTCTGTAGAATCAACCAAATTTGATAATTTTTTTTTTTTTAACTGATTGTTGGTAATATTTTACTGGCCACTTCAACTAACTTTGTTCTTCAATATTTTAATCTGTAAAAAAAAAATTTCTTTTTTAATATGTCTTCAAAAATACAATTTTTGGTGTTTTTTTTTATAAATTATATTATACCATTATTTGAAATAAACTATCTGTTTTGATACTACCCATAGACTTCTTCTTTCAGATAAAAAAAATAGTGACCAAAATATGACAATTCTACATGGTCTGAGAATTATTCCCCTGGAGTCATTTTTTTCATTATAATACACCCTTTCAACCACCCCTAAATAGGTACCGGATTGTAAATTAGTGGAAAAGTATTAGAACTAAGGTGGAAACAAAATATAAAATGTTATTTATAGAATTGAGGAAAATTTAAAAAACTGGAACCGGTTCCATTATCATGAAAATATTACTATAATAACCTTTATTTATGAGTGGTTTTTTTTAATATTATGTTTAGTTTTTCACTGCTATTCGTATTGTTCTCTGCTAATATACTATTGCAGTACTTGGTCTTGAATAAAATGTGCATGTATCATCCATGTGATTATACCGAAAAATGCCTACTAACCATGGTATAACTCTTGTTGAATAAATGTATTAATTAAAATTAAAGTATATTGAATTTGTTTTAAGTATATGATTTAGGAATATATGAAAATAAACATTAATTCAATAGAGACAGGATAATCTTAGAAATAAAAAATGAAGGTTTTTGTTTACAAAAAATAAATATAATTTCTGGTAATTCATGTGAAATAATGTTAGTTTTTCTAGAAATGAATTGCTCTGTTTAGGATATAAATATAGTATATTTGTATTCACAAATCTGCATGTTCAACGGTTCATTATGTGTGTGTATATAATGAAATTGGTAAATTATGCAAAATAAATGTTTATATAATAAATCTATTTAGTAATTTCTATTTAATTGCTTTTTGCTGAGATTCATTTTAACTACAGTTTAATACAATTTTAGATTTAAACATTAATTCAACAGAGACAGGATAATCTTAGAAATAAAAAATGTAGGCTTTTGTTTACAAAAAATAAATATAATTTCTGGTAATTCATGTGAAATAATGTTAGTTTTTCTAGAAATGAATTGCTCTGTTTAGGATATAAATATAGTATGTTTGTATTCACAAATCTGCATGTTCAACGGTTCATTATGTGTGTGTATATAATGAAATTGGTAAATTATGCAAAATAAATGTTTATATAATAAATCTATTTAGTAATTTCTATTTAATTGCTTTTTGCTGAGATTCATTTTAACTACAGTATAATACAATTTTAGATTTAAATATGAACATTTTAGGCCATATTTAATTTAAATTTGTATTTGTTTTTTAACTGCTATTTAAATTTAATAAAGCACAATCAAAGGGACATAATGTTCATACATTATGGAATTTAAATTTTGCAAAATGCATTATTATGTGTAGAACTTCATTGACCTCACTGTCTTATAGATTTTGTCTAATTACATTTTTTTTTCATGAAATTTAACTTATATTCTTAAGCAAATACTTTTGTAATTAAACCGAAACATTTACTCTAATATTTTATTTATTTGTTTTTACATTAGAAATTTAGTTTAGTATAATATATGGATTTAGAATAAATATGCGTTATTTTTTTTAGGTTGAAAAAATTATCACGATTATGCAAAATCCTCGTCAATACAAAATTCCAGACTGGTTTTTGAACAGACAAAAAGATGTTGTTGATGGAAAATTCTCTCAAGTATAATAATTTTAATTAATTTGTAGTATTGTTTAAATGTCGTAAATATCATTATAATTTGCATAATTAAGTCATGAATATTTTATTAATTTATAGCTTACCTCCAGTACCCTTGACAGCAAATTGCGTGAAGATTTGGAAAGGTTGAAGAAAATAAAAGCTCACCGTGGTCTCCGTCATTACTGGGGGTTTGTATTTTTTATTTAATATACAAACTTATAAAGATAATAAGCATTTGAATTTGCCTGTTATAGTCTAGAGTATTCATTTTAAGAAATCTTATAATAGATATGTTAGATTCAATTCCGATTTTTCTTTATACTCTAGTATGCCTCATGGCAAATACAATTTTATTATTTATTGATAAATTATTATGTAAACATTAATTATATATTATCATGCTTAAATTTCATATTAATTAATTAATTAATTACAGTGATTTCACAATTTTATAATATTTCAAAACTAGCACTCCTGTCTAGTTGACTACTTATATTTTCATTCAACTAATTCATTTACAGATGTTTTTTGTAATTTTGGTTTAAATGTTTATTTTAAAATATATTATCCTAACTTCAAAACAATTCTTAATAATAATTGAACTATTGGTTATCCATTCTTGTGCTTATTCTTATACTCTTTATAATAGCTTTATTACTGAAGAGGTTTTTCTGTACTTGAAAGCTAAGCATAATATGCTTCTTTTTTTTTACTCTAAATGATTTAGAAATTTGTAAATATTATTACCAGTTACAATCAGAAACATGATCAATAGTATATGTTAGTATTAAATTTAAAAAAAATATGTATATTATATGCATCCATTAATGCTGCACACCTTTACATTTATATTTTTTTTAATTCATGACATTTAACAACAATAAAGTTATTAACAATTTTTGTCATTTTTCGATTATTCAACTTTCTTCCTCTGCGATACAATTATAACTCGTGAAGTGAGCAAATGTGATTTTTATAAACAATAATATTAATTACATATTTTTCTTAATTTATGGATGTCATCCACATTTTTCAATAAATATATTTATAAGCCTTAAAAGGTGTCCTCTATTTATAATAATTGATTTTTAATTATAAAATGTAGATATATAATATGTTTTATAAATTTTGATTTCTCCATTTAACGGTAATTTTATTTTCAACAATAAGTGTTTTGTCACTTGGTTATTTTTAATCATTATCAGAGATGCCATTTGCCAACAGTTCTAAAGTTCAATTATATTGTGGTATTCTTAATAGCTCAAAAGGTCTTATTTTATTAAATTATTATGTATTATTTTTATAAAATTATAAGCAATTGTATTTTTATTTTTAGTTTGAGAGTACGTGGTCAACATACCAAAACTACCGGACGTAGAGGAAGAACTGTTGGTGTATCTAAGAAGAAATAAGTTAATAAAAGTGATAATTTTTATTCAAATTTAAAATTGTTTTTTTTTGCCCATTATTACTTCTTTAACTTTCCATAAAATTCTTTTAAATTCTAGTGGATCAATGAATGTATTGGTTGTACAAATATGTGTGTTTTAAAAAATTCTTATTATCTTTTGAAGCAGTAAAAAATGCTATATCTTCACTTTGAGAATGGTTTGTGGTAGTAAATTGAGTCTAGTTTTTACTCGTTGCAAGAAGGGTAGGATTAAAATAAAATTGTTGCTGCCTAAGAAAATTGGGAATAACTAATCAAAAATGGGAATATTTGTGATAATCAATCATGTCATTTTTGTGATTCAAAAAGTAATATTTGTGTACTCTATTCTGAATATGATTGAACCACTTTGGAGGACCAAAACACGGTTTTTCCCTGCATCCCCACTGCATCCGGACATTGGTGAGAGTGTTAGCACTGGCACACGACGACTGGTGATGCCTGTCGGCCTATCACAGAACTCATAGCCATCGCATGGGTGGTCAGGCTCTGTTCGGTGGCTCAGTTGATTGCGATAAAGCAGTTCAGTCTTATTCTGAATATAGTTTAGACTTGACATTTTCACAAAATATTTCTATTAATATTTTCAACTTTATATAGTATTAAATATTTTGGAGTTATTTGTAGACATTTAACATTTTATTTTCAATCCATGTTATTGACACTTATTTCCAAGTCCAATAGCTTAAAAATGTATTTCGATGTTTCTTACAAGTTATTGCAACAATTTAAAAATAAATAAAACAAATAATATTATTTAGTAATTAGTAGGCTTCTTCAACGATATCGATATCGCGAACTTTTTTTCGGAAATTTCGATATCGATAATCACGATAAACGATTATTATCGATATACCCCGGCCATTGGGTATTTAGTATTTACTATTTGTGTTAAAAATAGCACAGGATAACAGAGAAATAAATAATTAATAGAGATAACGCGGTATCGCACACAATCAAAACGATATCGATATTCAAAATTATATCGTTGAAGAAGCCTAGTAATTAGTATGGTGTTGGCAATATTTAGCTTAACCTATCATATTGCTAAAGATATTAGATACACACTGAAAATTATTTTTTATATTAATGATTTATCTTTATATTCAAATTCAACACATCCGTGATTTCGTTATGGTACTGCCAATGTCATAAATCCATGAAATATGCATTTAAATATAAATATTTTTAAACCTAAAATATATAAATTCATACCATAAATAACGAAATATTTTTGTTAATATATGTACTATAAATCGCGGTAAAAAAAGTTGGCTGTAGACAAGTCGTAAAGCTTTAAAGTCCGGTATATATATATTATAATATCAATATTTAAAATAATTTATTTAAAGAAAAATGCAATGGTTATAATTATGTACTTTGTATCATAACCTATATAAAAAAAATCAAAATAATTATTACATATACATAATATACTATTATGACTATACAGGGTGTCCCGTGAGGATTTACCTATTAGCCGTAGAGGGGGACTCATCGCCCGGACAAAAACCGGTTTTTTGGCGTTTTACTTATTAATTAAAAAAATTATTAAAAATCAGGAAATTAATGAAATTAAAATGTTGAAACGTCAATATTTTCAGAAAAATGAACTCTACAAAATAGCAATCTTCAATATTTTTTTAAATAATTAAAAAAATAATTTTTTTAACTTTTTTACCAAAACATAAAAAAAAATAAGTTATTTGTAGTGCTTACCTCTGTGAGTCTTTATAAGAAAACAGAATTACGATATCTCTATTATTTCAGGAGATATCGCAATGAGTAAATCTTCACGGGACCCCCTGTATTATTGTTGAATATTAACTATCGTCATATAAAGTAATAATATATTTAACAAAAAAAATTGAATGATTAGGTATAATGTTTATCTAGTATTATGACTTATCAGTTTAATTAACTAACTGTCGTCAAAATAATATTTTTTAAAAAAATTTATTTTGTCGGGTAAATAATTTAGTTAGATTTTATATTAATACTAATTTGACCTAATGGTATGCACATGACTTTTGGTAGTATACCATGTACTATCACTACTATGGATCGAATTCGGAATTTGTATTCAATCATAATTTCAATATGCACCTCAAACAAATACCTATGCAGATGCCTAAAGTTCTGAACCTTGGCATAATCATTAAACATGATCTTAAGACTTACTCTAATAATAATCATGTTTGTTTATCTTAAAATGTGGTCTACGGACCATATTAATAAGTTATATACCGTTACATTAAGTTTTTAAAGAAATGCGTTATTCATTGGTATTGCTAAAGTTTAGGTACCTACCCAGTATTCAGCGACACCCATACAACGTATATGTCTGATAAACAATAATGCAATTCTCAATTAATTAATAATTACATTTTACAAAATACTTTAACCTATTAAAATTTGTATTTTAAACTCAATATAGATAGGTATTACTATAGTACAAAATATGTATAGTTTTTGATAATAATTTGAGTAAAATCATGAAGTTTAAACATGTACAAGTACAATCAACTCGACTACAGATTTTTACTTTTGATAATTTATGTTGGTGCCTAGTACCTATCTACCCTATAATAAATAATAATATAAATTTATGTATACTTCAATTTTCAAGTTCTTCAAAAATAAACTGTAAAAATTAAAAATTTGTGTATAAATAATTAATATAAAATCTCCAGGATCAAGATGTCTGTGGTATAAATGTATAATGCATTAATGTGTATTACACCTTAAGAACACGATCCGATGACGCGAACCTGACTCATCCACCCATATGTAGTGCGTTAAATAATATTAGGTATTTTAAGGTCGTCGAATCAAGTTTATGATGCACTATATTATGTTATTATTGAACTGCATATTATTATTGTGAGCACGCACCACTCACTGCAATAAAATAATTATAGGTCGATGTGCAGCAATAGACAATTTACCTACATTAGCTTTAAGAATAAAGTAATGTGTGACACGCGTACTAATAGGTAGGTATGCAATAGTCATAACATAACATACCTACCTATCGGTAAAACAGGAGAAAGAACTAAAACGATCGTCACTCCCACTAAACGCTTAAATATTAGGACCAGTTAATTATTCGATATCCTCAGGCATGGGTTCTTTCAAGTCTGAAACCCATAAGGTGGGTATTTGCATCCATTTACTACAGGAAAAATGTATATAATATGATATACGTATTACATCTTAATTTGTCATGTGTGGGTGTGTCACTAGTGACGACTCAAATTTTTTTTTTCCTTAAGAGGACGTCACACCCGCATGTTTTGTCTCCGTATTACACACGTACGGCACAGGCAAAACGCGTTTACGCTATCAGAATAGAACTCTCTCAATTTTGGTTTTAGTGTAAAAATACCTATTATAAAATTGAATTGTGACAATATTTCTGAGGGCGTTTTTTCCATTATATCCAGTATATAACATTCATTATATCGTTTAGAAATAGAAAAATTTCAACATTTTTAAAATAACTTTTGAAAATTTAAATTTTTTTAAAAGAAACGCAACAAAATATTGTCAAAATTAAATTTTCGAAAAGGTATTTTTACTCCAGAACCAAAAAGCTGGGCGAGTTCTACTCCGACTGCGTATGCTCATTTTGTCCATGTCGTACGTGTGTAAGACGGAGACAACACATGTGGGTGTGATGTCCTCTTAAGACTTGCGTAGTTGCGTATTTATATTTTATTAGGTACTTATTAGTTATACATTATTATTTATTAGTTCTCTTCGCTCAAAATTTGAAAAATGTTTTGCATAACTACCTTTACCTGATTACCTGAATATCAGTATCTATCTGTATGACAATATTATCACAGTGACACAATGTCTCTTATAGTCTTATTCTTATTCTTAGATCATTATGACTACATAGTTCTAAATTCGTATTTATATAGCAAGCTGCAGTGGCGTAGCCAGGATTTTTCAATGGGGGGGGGTTTACGGTTTGAGTCTATATAATAGGTATAGGTACATAAAACATATTATTTTAAATTGTATTGTACTTTATTTAAAGCATTTAAAGTCAAAAAATATTTTAATTACATAAAAATTTACATCAATCGTAGTTTTCTTGTTTTAGTCGCTAATTTATTTAGGACATCATCAGGGTCTATCATTATATCACTGTGTATATTCATCATTGCCAAACCATTCAATCTATTTTCACACGTGGTGTTTCGTAAATATGTTTTCAATCTTTTTAACGTTGAAAAAGATCGTTCACTGCTAGCAGTTGTAACTGGGAGTGTTGCTAGAATCTGTAAAAGTTTGAAAGTAGAAGGGAAAATAGACATATTACAGTTTTGAAGAGCGTCGATAGCATTTTTTGGTAAATCTTTAGTTCCTGTAAATTTTTGTTGCCAAATTTTTATTTCACTCACAGCTGCTAACACACTACAATCTAAATCACTTTGATACATCTCAACTAGCTGCTTAATTTTTTCTTCATTATGTACACTTATGGATGATGGTAAAATAAAGTTAAAATTTTCAATTACAGATCTATGAGATAAAAATCGATCATTTAATTGATTTAAAAAATGATCTACAAACGGAATGAACAAAGATATTCTGTAATAATCTTCGGGCAGATCAACCTGGACATTGCATCTGTTTTTTTGCTTGTTAGCTGTACGAGGAACAGATATTTCAATGTTTAAGGCATCACATTTAGATTTTACATTATTAAATATAATTTTAAATTCAGTTTTATCGTTTAATCTTAGTCGTTTAATTATATTTACTACGTCATCAGCGGTTTGAATAGCTTCAACCAGATCTATATTCTTTGTCTGAAGAAACTTACTTAACGGTAAACTCAAACTCAACATATGTCCCAGTATATAAGTTGCTAATATAAATTCTGGTTGTCTTATAGCACACAACAATTGGTATGCTCCTGATGAAGCATCCTTATCAAGCCAAGTACAAACTTCTGATAAACTATCAATTATTGCATCAAATAATTCGAGGAAAATAATTATTGAATCATGTCTGTCTACCCATCTTGTTGGACATAACAGTTTCAAACGGTTATGGGTCGATAAAGGACATACACGTGCTATTGATTCAGATAAAACATTATTTTTTTTGGGGTATTTAAAAAAAACACAAACTTTTTGGATAGTTCCAGTGCAATTTCTTATAGACTGAATGCTACAAGCATCTGAAATAGCCAAATTGAGACTATGGGAACTACAGTGTATATAATGTGCGAGAGGGTAATGTTTAGTAATATGAGCTTGGACGCCATTGAATTGTCCACTCATGGATGCAGCCCCATCATACCCTTGACCACGTAGGTATTTCACATCAATCCCGATTTCTTCCAAAGTTGTCAGAAGAGTAGTCGCTAATCCCTTTCCAGTGACATCACTAACAGGAACAAATTTTAAAAAATCTTCTCTCATTATCATTTTTGTTTTGTCTAAATATCTAGCACAAAGGGAAAATTGTTCAATACCAGCAATGTCTGTAGTTTCATCAGCTAAGACTGTAAAACATCTTGCACTATTTACTCTGTTCACAATTTGTTTTAGAATTATATCAAAACATACATCTATTATTTCATTTTGTATATCTGCACTAAGATATGATGCATTTCGAGGAGCATTCTTTAAATGGTCAGCTAACTCTTTATCACCCCCTCAACTCTAAACCGTAACAAAGCTCGAAAGTTACCATCATTAGTATTGTGTTGTAGATCTATTGGTCCCGAATCCCTATGGCCTCTTAAGGCTATTCCTTGACGACCACACAGAATAATAGTTTTAATAATTGGTTGTATTTTCTTACGATTTTGTTGGATTTCCATTTTTAAACTATTATTTATCTGCACATCAATAGAATCTTTATTTTTGTTATATACAGATAACAAATTGTCAGCATTCAAAACTGACATTTTATGGTAATTTGTATTTTCATGTTTATTGAACTCTTCAATAGCTTTTTTCCAATTTGAAAAATGTTCTAAAACAAGTTTTCCTAATTTTTGTTTTCCGCGACCTCCTTCATTTTGATTAAATAACACACAATATTTACAAAATACACCATCTAACATCTTCGAATAACTTAACCAGGACCATTTAGTCAACCAACTTAGTTGAAATTTTAAATTCCGATGCCCGCTTTGAGGAAACTTAAAAGTACCATCAGGCTTCCAAATGACCATTAGTAGTTCAGCACGTTTATTTGAGTTAATCTTCAATAAAAGCAATAAAAGAAACATGCATAAGAATAAGTAATTATCTACTAAATAATAGAGTATTAAAATAGAAATAGAGTTTTTAAATGAAAATGTAAATAAATAAATATATTTAAAAAACTTAATTAAAAAACTCATAGCAAAGCTTTAAGCTTATACCTAATAATAAATATTAAAGAAGTCATGCCAGAATGGTGCATAGTGCATAGATAGAAAATAAGCATTAAGAATAAGCAAGCATCTACTAGTTTGAGTAGTTTCTAGAATATTAAAATAGCAATACTTTTGATGAAGCTTATGATTGATAATAATTTAATTTATATTTTATAATAATAAAAATGATGATAATTAATAAATAATAATATAATATTAATACCAAGCAACCCACTTCAAATCATAAGAGGTTGAAATGTAAATGTAAATAAATAAATACTTTTTAAAAAAAAAAACCTAATTAAAAGAGACCCATAGCAAAGCTTGAAATAATAAATATTACATAAGTAATAACATACCATAGTGTAACATTCCTAATTGTTTTAATGGAAATAATTTTATTAAAATCTATAACAATTGGTGAATTGAGTAAAAAAAACCATTTTTCTTTAGTACTTATATACCTATTATATTTCTACCTACCTTTATTCCCTGATGAATCAGTAATCCAATATCCATTGGGTTAATATCAGGAACATTATCAGGATTATTACTAGTGGATTCAACATTATCAGGAGTATTACCCTTAGATTCAACATTATCTGAATTATTGCTCATGGATTCAACATTACAGTCACTCTGTTAAAAATAAACTATTTAATATCACTTCAAAACTTTGTTAAGTTAAACAATGTGAAAATCTGTTTTATTGATTAATATTGTGTTTAAAATATATTATATACCACATAATCAGCTACTTTAGATTCTGACAGTTCAGGCTGTTCTACGGTGGGCTTCAATTTCTTAAAATATCCTAAAAGATTATTAGTTTGATTGCGCTTTTTGGAGTTTGAGTTAGATAGTTCCATCTTGGTTTAATAATATTAATTTGGTACCTGCTTAGAACATTAGTTACACAAAATAATAAAAGATACAAGACATCAAAAACGACAAAAACCTTACTGTCAATTGAATTGTCAATTTTGAATTTATCTTTTATCTATGATTGAATAATAGTGATGAGATAAAAAACCGTTTTTGTACATGATAAATTGATAACTAATATAAGTGATTAACTGATAACATGGAATATCGATAGTCCAATAATCAATATGATGTTACATACGAATTATTTTGTTGTTACGTTTTTAGTTGTTACGTACTATTTTTCAACTAAGAACGTAACGCACCGTACGTGTATGCATCGTTATCAGCCGCGGAGGAACAACACAAAATGAGTTTTCACGATCGGTTGTCTACAAGGGTTACTGTCGACGAGGCCGTGCGTACATGGATTTGAATAATTAAAAAAAATATTAAATAAAACCCATGGGGGGGGTTTCAACACCCAAAACCCCCCCCCCCTGGCTACGCCACTGGCAAGCTGAGAGGTATTTATTACACTGAAATGGCGTGACGTGAAGACAGTCGTCAGTGTTGTAAGCAATCGTTAAAAATGATAACTATGTACACCTCCATTTTATATTAATTAGGTAGGTACACTTTACACAGTGCCGTAGACAGGAATTTTATATGGGGGGGGGGGGTTATTATAATAATAACATGTTATAGTAAATTAAGAAAAAATAACAAATTATTTTTATTTTTATATATTAATTTTATCAGATCTATTTTTCTTTTAGATTCTGAGTGAAACGATGAATGTATTGATTTTACAATGATGTGTGTTTTTTTTTTATTTTAGATTCTGAGTGAAACGATGAATGTATTGATTTTACAATGATGTGTGTTTTTTTATTTTTTTTTTTATTTTTTTTTTATTTTTTTATTTTTTTTTGTGTCTGTCATCACGTTTTAGGACAGTAAAAGTGCTTGGATTTTCTTCATCAGTAGCTTTTCTGATAGGAAAGTGAATCTAGTTGGTACTTTGGGGGGTCAAAAGTATAAATTTCCCAGTAGTTTTCACAAGCGCCGGGAAAAACAACATAAAAATTAAGGAAAAACGGGAATTTTTACGCAAAATTGGTTTTCCAAAAAATCGATTTTGGTTTTTGGTGTAACTCTGAAACAAATGAACGTATATACATGAAATTTTCACTGGTTGTTTATATTTGCATTTTCTATACACGATAACATTTTCAAAATATTTTGATTTATTTTGAACTGTTTAGGGACATTTTCATTTTCCATTTTTTTTTAGTTTTTTTTCTAAAAATATCAATAAAATTTTATTTGTTGGTTGCGAAAGCTTGAAAATTTAATAGAAGGCTCCTAATATATTGCTTCAAAGGCAGATGAAAAATATTAAAAATCCTTAGTCACAATTTTTTTTTATAAGCATTTAAAGTTCAAAAATGGACAAAATATGGGAAAATCACGAAAATTAGCAAATTATTTTGAGTTAAGAATTCGTAAAAATTTTTCTTTTTAAATCTAAGATTTGAAAATTAAACACAAGATTCCTTATAAGTTTGTCTACCTTTATCAAAAGAAAAATGTTTATAAGAAAGTCAAATTAAATTTTTATGAGCGTTTGAAATTCAAATTTTTACAACATTGAATATTCACTCGATTTCCCATGTAGCGATTTCCTTATTTTGTTGTAATTCAAAAACAAATAACTGTAGATACATGAAAATTTCACTGAATGTTTAAATTAGCATTTTCTATACACCATACAATTTTGAAAATATTTTGCCTCTTTTTGAGCTGTTTATGGACATTTACAGCTTTCAATTTTTTTTAGTTTTTTTTTCTATAAATATCAATAAAGTTTTATCTGTTGGGCCAAAAAGTGTAAAAATTTAATACAAGGCTCCTGATATATTGTTATAATATCAGTTGAAAAATATTAAAAATACATAGGCACAGTTTTTTTTTATAAGCATTTAAAGATCAAATTTTGACAAAATTTATCAAAATCTCGAAAATTATCAATCATTGTAATTAATAAATTATAAAATGTTCAGTTTTTATAGCTAAGGATTGCAAATTCAACACAAAGGTTCTCGTAAATAGTAAATACTGTAACCAAAAAATCTAAAAAATATATGAACACAGTTATTTTTTACAGACATTTTAAATTCAAATTTGGACGAAATTACATATTAAAAAACCTAGAATAACTATTTTAGTTATTTTGTTGTGATTGAATAATATTATTCGTGGATACTTGAAACTTCTAAAGTGTACTATTATATATCTATGATAGTATCACGGTTTTTGTTGATGTATAACGCGTTATAAGTACCTAATGGATATTTTGATATGATTAATTTGGAATTTATTATAGGTACCCATTATAGGTCAATTTTTTGTTTAATACCATAGATATGTATATAATATGTCTTATACATAGACTGACATACCGTCTGCGCTCAGAATCGTTTTTCTTATACAATGATATTATATCGTTGAATTCAAATTTAATATCATCCATTATACAGTGACCCACTTGTAACCTACTGTACAGCAGAGCGACACCCACTTGCCCACCTTTTTTTGTTTTTTTTTTTGTGTCTGTCATCACGTTTTAGGACAGTAAAGTGCTTTGATTTTCTTCAACAGTAGCTTTTCTGATAGGAAAGTGAATCTAGTTGGTACTTTGGGGGTTCAAAAGTAAAAATTTCCCAGTAGTTTTCACAAGCGCCGGAAAAAACAACATAAAAATTAAGGAAAAACGGGAATTTTTACACAAAATCGGTTTTCCAAAAAATCGATTTTGGTTTTTAGTGTAACTCTAAAACAAATAAACGTATATACATGAAATTTTCACTGGTTGTTTATATTTGCATTTTATATACACGATAACGTTTTTAAAATATTTTGATTTATTTTGAACTGTTTAGGGACATTTTCATTTTCCATCTTTTTTTATTTTTTTTCTAAAAATATCAATAAAATTTTATTTGTTGGTTGCGAAAGCTTGAAAATTTAATAGAAGGCTCCTAATATATTGTTTCAAAGGCAGATGAAAAATATTAAATTTAATATTAATATAAATATTATTTGATATTTCAAAGTCTAACATCTCAGCCAATCTCTATTTAAAAATATAATTATAGTTAAAAAAATGAACATTAAAATTGAATT